GTAGATTTTGGGTTATTGGAAATGGAGACTTAATGAGCAAATTACTTGGTGTCAACAAAGCCACAAGTTTTGATTTTAATTTTGAAATTTTTTTTAACTTTTATATTTTCATATTTTGAGGATTTTTTTAATAATTTTTTGAAGTTTAGATTTATCTGAAAAAAATTTTAATTTAACTATTAAAAAAAAAGGAAGAAGTAAATCTGCAATATGAAGAGAGAGACTGGAAAGGAGGAGAGAGAAGATGAATGAAAGAAAAGGAAGTAAATGAGGACTCTTTAGTAATTTTAAAGTTTAAATTAACCACATCACCCACCCAATGCCATATCAGCACCAAGCCATTTATTGGTAATGGAGTAACAAGGATGTGGATGGAAAGATGACATTTGATGAGGTCATCGTCAGCAGAAGGGCTGATTTGCGGGTTTTGTTAAGTGGAGGGGCTGATTTGCTCTACTTTTAGGTAGAGGGGCTGATGTGCCACAACAATGTACGTAGAGGGGCTGAATTGCACCTTCTGCCAAGATAAAATGCAAAAGATCCTTGAGTGCTGCATGCCTGCAAATGCATAAGCCTCCTGGAGGATTATAACCGACATTTGGCTTTCTGTTAATATTCTAGGTTACAAATTTATAATACCATTAAAAAAAATTATTGTATTGTAGTTTACAAGGGTCAGCGCCAGCATCCAGGGTTGTTGATTACGGTTCATACCGATCGTACTGGTTTTCGCCTAAAACTGGACCGATATGTCGTTTATCTTGTATCTGTTGAAATATCGGCCACAACGGGAGTAAAGTTGCGTACCGGCCGGTATGATAAATTTCGGCCAGTACAGCTTTTGAGTTCATTTTTTATTTTGTATGTAAATTTTTTTAAATAAAAGAAACTTAATTTATAATTAATAAAATAAAAATAAAAATAAAAAAAGAGGAGAGGTGAAAGGGGATTTACTTATGGTGAAATGCCCATATTTACCTAAAACTATGATAATTATGGTAGCAGTAGGAGACACACTCACTCTCTTAAAAAAAAAAAAAAAAAAAAAAAAAAAGAACAAATTAACTTAGTAATTTTTTAACTTATTAGACAAATAAAGTATTTACATTTAACTACTGACATCATTCTACGTCAGCATTCCAGCATTCCGTTAATTTAATGCTTCTGTGATTTTTTTTTTTTTTGACATGTTAGACGTTGATGTGGGGTAAGACCAGATCCTCAAAGCTTGTTTGGGAGCTAAAGATGGATTTTGTCATCACAAATACAATATATTTTGAAATGGGTTAAAGCCAACTATAGTCCCTCTACTTTCAATTTTCATTCATTGTCCTCCCTGTACTGACAAATTGTTCAAAGTTTTCCCTCTACTTTTCCATACCATACTATAGTCCTCCCTCTACTTTAATCTTTCATGACATTTACCTCCCTCCTCTACCACCACACTAACACCGTTTCTAACTCCCATCTCACATAAACATCTTGGACCGTTAAGTGTGATGGTTTTATTTATTTATTTTTTAAATTGTGTTTGTGGGTCCTACAAAACAAGAGAAGGAAAAAAACTCTCAAAATCTATTAATTTAACAAATATATATTAACTAGTAATTAATTTCAATATTCTTTAATTTTCAATGCACACAATTATTTAAACAAAGTCTCAATTTTTTCTATTTTTATGTCTCTTTTCTTGACAACTATTAGGGTGATTTTATTATCACATCTTATTAGTATTAATTTCATGTTAAATTATTCTTTCTAACTTTTCTTGTATTTTGAGTTGTCTAATGGGAGTTAACTCTTTCTTATTCTTTAACCCACCTTACCTACACATCACCGGATTCAAACCCATAACTTCTTACTTTTACTAAAAAGAAATCACTACTAAACTATTTAGATCTTTGGTTTCTTTGTAACCTTTTTAATCTATTAATATAATTGAAAGTTACTATGAATGATGTTTTCAAAATTTTAGAACATATTTGATTGAGTTATTAAGAAATAATTAAAACTTGCTTTTTGTAATTAGATGAATAAAGGCATTTAAATTATAAATGATGATAAAATTATTCTATATAAAATATCATATATTAGTTATTATTAATAGTTAAATTAAAGTTTTATTTTACCATATTTCTTACATTTTTTTAATAGTTCTTTGTCTAAAATGTAAATTTATTAATTTTAATAAATTTTTTAATATATTTATACTAAATTTAATTAACATTTTAAATATTTTTAAGATATTAGAAAACAAAAAAAAAAATCTATGAACATAGCATAGCACTGTCAAACCAAGTCTACATATG